GGTCCCCGCCTTCAGTTTGTGCCTGTTGGCCCTCTGTGGCTGGCCTTTGCCCGAGCTCTGAGATCCCGCACACGACAGGAACATCCTGGTTCTCTCCTCCTTGAGGCCCCTGGTCACTGAGACACCTGTGTGTAGTACTGTCCTGCAGCCTGCAGGGTGGGACCCTGGTAGGCCATTGTGTGTTCCTGTTCCATCTCCCTCAGGGTGTGGGCCACTTAGGTTCTGACGGCCCCAGGTCCAGTCCGCCTGCATGACCCACGTAGTGCAGCCATGCCCTGCAAGGAGTGAGCTGTCCCCTTCCCTGCCCCGTGTGGGTCTTAAGTGAGGGTGGCCTGGCATGCCAGTGGCCTTTACCCTGGGGTCTGCTCACTTACCATCCTTGCCATCCTTGGGTCAGTCCAGTGATTAGAACAGTAACTCCGGGTGTTTCCCCTGGTGCAGGACTCTCGGGGGAGTTGTCTGTGGGGGGAGTGGGGTAGTTGGCACATTTAAAGTAAGCTGAAACCACTCTCCATTTAAAATTGGATACACTGGCCTTGAAATGCTGGTGTGCATTTCACTGAGGCTGTATGTATGGAGACAGGTGCACTGGGAAAACGGGCTGGTAGCAGTCATGTTTGGCAGTATCTTCCTGCTCATCTTTGAAGAGGGTCCAGAACCTTCACTGTCTCTCGATAGGGCCCAACCAGCCAGGAATTGCACAGAGGCTTGGAGACTTCCAGGGAATGCTTTATTCAGTGAACAGGGTGCGGGCAGGTCCAGTGTGTCTTCCGGGGGAACCTCCATCAGTGAGTTTGGCCTGACTGAGAACCTTGTTCCTTCTTTACTTCTCATAATTGCTGATGGCTGGTTCTCTCTCACCAGTCTGAAAACGGAAGGCAGGTTGGCTCTTCATACTGACGCCCACTTGTCTCAGAAGTGAGCAGACCCTGTGCTGAGCCATGTTCCCTAAGAGACACCTTGAGATGCTGTTCATCTTGAGAGACGAAGATGACACAATCCCCAGGCTGTGTTCACAAGTACACACGAACACACTTGCCCTATGGTTGAGGGACGAAGGAAATCTGGTATGTGTATAGACCCAAGGCCACCACTGTCCCTGGAGAGCTGCGCTTTGCGGCCCACGAGGTCTGCCTACAGATCCCTGACCTGGAGTGAGTGGAGGGCAGCCTCCAGCCTGAACTTTCCTCCCAGAAGAAACAAATCTAGCCAGGTTTGCCAGGACCTCTGCACCCACTTTTGGGATAGCTGCTGTTCACGATTGTTCTGGAAAAGAGTGTAGGGAGGCTTGTGTGTAAAGTATTCACCCTGTGCCCCAGAGCGTTTCATCCTGCTGAAGAGAGGTCATGGGAACTTCTCCAGCCCTGCTTGAGTGATACGCCTCGGTGCTGGGAATACTCAAGTTCTGAGTGGCCTCAGGCTTGAGGCCAGTGGGAGAGAATGGGCAGAGCCACGTGTGTTCTCCCACAGCAGGCCAAAGATGGATGAGAAATGGGCTTCCTGAGTCCCCTTTCTGTGGGAAGTCAGCATTGGGATGTGGATTAAACGTGCGTTTTAGAGCTGGGCCTGCGTCTTTCTTCGAGCTGGGGGAGCCTGCTCAGTCTTCACCAGACCTGCTAGAAAGACCTTCCCAGGTCCTTGTGGGGACTCAGTCACCAGTGGATGAGCGTCCCGTGGAGAGCAGTCACCTGACAGCCCAGCACCTGCCCAGACCATGGAGCCCTCTAGGAAAGCCTGCCGAGTGCAGTGTGCCCTCCAGCAGCTCAGCCATCGGTCTGTAACGTGACTGTGGGACAGAGATGTGTGAGCAGTCCGCAGCTGGGAGGCACACAGGGGTCCAGAACATCGTAGCTCGGGTGGGGAGAAGATCCCGGGGGCTTTGAGAGGGATGTAGGATGGACTGGGTCCAGCGAAAACCACCGAGTTCCATCAAGATGGGGACACAGTGACATGAGGAAGTGATGTAGACAAATTGTCCTCCTATTTTGTTAAACCCCTTCTAGTTCCTTTGAATGGATGATAAGTCTTCCTGTTAGAGTGGCCTTGTCTTTAGGGTATTCTGAAACATTCCTTGTCCTGCTCATGTGAGCTCTACCAGCTGGATCCTCTCTGTGCTTCAAACATGAGTGACGTGATTGCGGTTGGAGAATGGACAGTGAGAGTCTGTTCTGGGCACAGTGTATATAGGAGTGGAGCATCCAGGGATGTCGTGCCCTTTACGCGTGGTAGGTCACTGTGGTCTCCTGTGTGCTCATCCATTGCCCACAGTGAAGGGGTGCAAATGGCTATTTGAAAAACCTGTCTTTTAATTTTATTTCCTTAAAAATTCATTTGACACCAGTAAGACAAAAATGTTAAATCTGGGTGGTTATTTCTACACTCCAGAGTTCTGCATTTAAGTTGTGGTTTTTTGTTTTGTTGTTTTTTTTTTTTTTTTTGGTTTTTTGAGACAGGGTTTCTCTGTGTAGCTTTGCACCTTTCCTGGAACTCACTTGGTAGTCCAGGCTGGCCTCAAACTCACAGAGATCCGCCTGGCTCTGCCTCCCGAGTACTGGGATTAAAGGCGTGCACCACCACCGCCCGGCTTAAGTTGTTTTATAATATTTCTCTTCTACAGTCTGAGTGGAAGTACAGACTGTCCTTAGGGACAGTGACAGTGGGCAGGTCTCCAGGCAGGACACCAACCCTGTGGCACCTGTGTGGTCCCCAGCTCTAAGAAGAAGCACCCCTCAGCTAGCTACAGGCTCTTCTGCTAGTGGAGCCTGTGGCTTCCTGGCCTGTAGCTCTGGCGGTCCCTTGTGGAGCCCCTGAAGTGCTGGCTGGCCTTTGTGGGCTCAGGCACTGCACCCACAGCCTGCTCCCTCCTAGTCCAGGCTCTACAGTGACGGGACAGTGTCTTCCTGCCGACTCGTTAGTCCCCTCCGTCTGCCCCGTGATGCACATGCCGGAGCCTGGATCCTTTGCCTTATTCATGGAAGTGCTCCTGCCTAGCTGTCCTCTCAGATCTATCGATCTGTTCTTTTTAGTACTTTATTAATTAGTCATGCGGACAAGGTCCTGTGGCTGGTCTAGACTTCTGTTGTCGCTCAGAAGTGCCTGTTTGTTCTGGCTGGGCCGAGCCCTAATAGCCTTCTTGCTAATCTAAAACTCTTGCTGTGATCCGGGCCTCTGGTGCTCCCCCTGATTTGGCATCTGTCAGGGACAAGAGCTTGTGGGTTTTATTTTAAAAACCCAGGCAGTCAAATGATTCGTAGGAGCAGCTCCAGCTCCTGGCCTTGGTCGGGAAGAATGGGAATTAATATTTAACTACCTGTGTTAGCACACTGAGAACAGATCCTGGCCTTCAGGGTCTCGGCCCTCAGCCCACGCTGCCCTGTGGTTAACCCTTCCCCGGAGAGCTCCCCACAGCTCAGCTTAGAGCCATCCCCAGCCCCTAAGCACAATGCATCTGTCACAGCTGCACTGCCAGGCTTGGGTAGGAGACCTTTTCAGGAAGTGTGTGATCCCAGATGGGAGAAGAGCCTCAAGGCGAGGCCTGAAGGAGCTGCATCTGTGTGGCCACAGTGATTTCCCCAGGGCTCTTGTTTTAGAGACTTGGAGGTGTTTTCACTCCTGCAGGGCAGAGAGGAAAGCATTAGCTCCCTCTACGTGGGTGCCCCTGAGGCTGTGGTTGACTTCAGAGTCTCAATGGGGGCTCATGGCTATTCCTGAAACTCAACCAATGCCTGTGAAGCTTAGTGCAGTGGTTCCTGGGAGTGCCGCCAGACACTGAAAGGTATTTGTGCCTTCTTCTCTTTCCGTGTGTTTACAACACTCGGTGAAGAGGCCTGACCCTGACGGGGTGAGAAGCACTGGGCAGCTGTCTTCTCCATGAGCTGGTGGAGCCCTCCAGGCTTTCCTGGCAGAGGAATGATGTATGGTTCTCAGCAAGGCCTTGGTCCCCATCCCCTCCACCATAGAGAGGCAGCACACAAAATCTTCTCTTACTGGGAGGGCTGCTGGGCCTTGGTTCTGACTAAGGTAGTACCTGCTGGGCAGCCACTGTGCCTTAGCAGGTTCAGGGCAGTGGGTATGGTTAAGTTGGAAGCTCCCTTTGAGGAGCCAAATCCTGAGATCCTGATGAGGGAATGCTCATTCAGCTCATTGTGGCCTGAGACAGGTCACTGCTCTGGGAGTGGCCCTGTCACATGCCACCCTAGGGCTGGGAAGCGGCTGCTGTGGCAGTGGTGTCCTTCTGCCTGGCTCCTGGGGGTGTGGCCACAGTTTGAGCTGTTTATTCAGACTTACAAAGCTGGGCCCTACTGAGGAAAAGTGCAGGTGAGGGCATGCACAGAGACAAAGCGGAGCACCGTTGCCGAATGTCTGCATTTAGGCATCTTGCAGCAGGGTGTGCTGGGGACGCATGGGAAGGGCTTCGTGGCTTCAGCAAGCACATCGCTGAACAGAGGGATTGGTCATGTAAAAGGATAGAGAGCGAGCCAGGAAGGATGGATGTGTAACTGGACAGACACACAGGTGCTAGTCTGCTGGGCAGTACCTTTACTGGCCGTGAACTGGGAGTTTCCCAGCAGCAGAGGCCATCCAGGAGGGAGTTGTGTCCCAGGCCCTCCTGGTCTTTTGGGCCTGGCACCTGACCACTTATTTGAAATGCACAATCCCCCTGCCTCACGCTGTTTCTGTCCGTACCCAGTGTTGGCTTTGGGCCTCTCCCTGAGCAGCTAGCCACTCCCCCTGTCAGTGTCTGCCTGGGGAACTGGCTACAGAACTGAAGCCCCTCACCTCTAGGGCTAAGCCAGTCATGTTTCCAGGCTGGGGTAGGGACCCTGGGAGCCCCCTGTGACCCTCCACATCATCAGAATGCGCGCCGGTGGCGGGTGGGATGGGACTGTGGCCTCGGCCGCCTCAGCAGCAGGACGGTCTCTGTTTCTATGTGACGGCACTGTGGGGAGGATCTGCACTCCAGGCCCCAGGCACATGCTGATGGTGCTCTTCTTCTACAGTGTGCAGGAGAAGAGAACTGGGTGGACAGTCGGACCATCTACGTGGGACACAAGGAGCCCCCTCCGGGTGCAGAGGCCTACATTCCACAGAGATATCCCGACAACAGAATCGTCTCCTCCAAGGTAGCCTCACTTCCTGCCCTGAGGTTCTGCCTGCGGGAGGCTGCCACAGGGGACCTTCTGAGAGCACTGGTGCTACCCTGCAGCTGTCCCCAGGGTGGCCCTGCTCTCCCAGCAGCCACACTGCTCCTGCACTGCTGTCCCTGGGCCAGGCAGTACCACTCCGCTCCTGCAAGGCTGTCAGGGCTGCTTTGCTGGGCCTCGCCCTATCCTCTTCTCTAACCGCCCCCAGTGGAGGACCAGACTTGAAGTGTGAGGCATGAGTCACATCCCAACGCTGCCCCTAGCCGTACACTGCCCGGCTGTGTCTGGCAACCAGGCCACCCGGCTAGGCGCGCATGGCAGACGGAGGGGGAGTGCAGCTGGGTCTCCTCGCTCTGGTGACAGGCTTTGTCATCAGAGGATGTGCAAATGTAGACCACGTGGAGAGACATCTCAGAGGTTTGAGGGTGGGAGTGAGGAGCTGTGACCCCGAACATGAGGATGGACACGGTTTTCCAGAGGGGAGGAACACCTTCCCTTATGAACAGACACACCTGAAAACACATGCATTTGTGTGCCGTGGGTCTGTACACTGTGTGTGTGTGTGTGTGTGGCCAAGGTGCAGATATGTAAGTCACAACCGAATGTTCTGAGACCCAGGTGGGCCTATTTAAGTTGCACAAGGCTCCCACGAAGGAGGTCTGTGTCATTGACACTGGTGTTCTGACATGCACAGCTCTGGAACTCCCTTCACAGACGCCATTGTGCTGAGATCTGCTAAGTTCTCTCTAGAACTCAGAGCCCTGCATTTGTTGGGAGGGTTTTATGACCCAAAAGGTTAGCCTCCCGAGGACTTTTTTATGCGGTTATTTATTTTGTAACAGCAGCATTAAACTATTTATAATAGCTTTGTCCAGAAGCACAACCTAGGCCAGTAAAACACACTCATAAGTAAAACCCACATATGAGTGTCCCTGAGGTGACGCAGGCCTGACAGTGAAGAGACCAACGGAAGAGAAACACCTCCCCGTCCCTGTGTTCACAATCGGGACTCACGCTCATCAGACCCATCGCCACCACCACCACCCCAGGAGGGGGTGTGCAAGTGTGGGCTCATGCAGTGTGTGTCGGTGTCCGTGTCGTGTGTGTGTGTGTGTGTGTGTGTGTGTGTGTGTGTGTGTGTGTGTGTGTGTGAGAGAGAGAGAGAGAGAGAGAGAGAGAGAGATCTGTGTGCAGACAGGTGCTGCCCAGGCCGTTCACGATGCCTGTGAGAGCAGAGCAGCCTGACTGAGCTCTCTGAGCGGCTCGGGGGCTTTGGGGCTGTCGGGAGCCCCACCCTCACCCCATTGCTTCTATCCGTTCGGGGCTGTTGCCCACGGTGATGCTGAGAGGCTCTTACTTCGGTTTTTGCCCCTGGAGAACAGGAACCACCACAGCCTCCTTGACTTCTGGGAAGGAAATCCACAGGGAGGCTGTGTGGGAATTGCAGGTCCCAGGGGTGTTCGGAAGCAGTTTCTCCTAGAGAGGCTCCTTCGTACCAGGAAGCTTTTGAGCAGGAACCAACAGAATTAAGTCAACACTGGGCAGAGAGTGGCCCGAGGGAGGACGGGCCAGGAATTAGCAGACCCACTCCAGGACCTTTCATCTCAGCCTCCAGCAGGCGGTCAGCACAGGGAGCGAGCACCTGTGGAACATCAGTGCCTGGCCTCCGTGACAAGTAGCCAGTGGTGTTTCAGGGGAAGATGCGCACAGCCTGGCCCCTGTACCAGTTCAGGAAGGAAGGAAGGGTAGACCGACCCTTGGACAGGAGGCGGGGCTCTGGACCTCAACTGACACACAGGGCTTTATGCAAACCAAGTGCAAGTCTGTGAGGCACCATGGGGAATTTATCATTGTTTTTGCTCGAATAACAGCTCAGGTGTGTGGAAAGCGCTGGTGTGTTCAACAGATATACCAAGGTTTTGTAGAATATGTCTAGAGTAATGTTGTTTCTACCTTAGAAATGCCAAAGTATGCCTCAGAGCCGAGCAGTCTGATTAAAGCAGAAGCTGTGGCAGGGTTTGTCCGTGAAGGGTCACAGGAAGGCCTCCACATGCCTGCCATGGCAAGGGCGTTGTTACTAGTGGTAGTGATTGGCCAGAGTTCCCATTTCATGGAAGAAGAAGATGAAAATGACCACTTTTGTGGCTCCTCATGGCCTCTGGCCACACACACACACACACACACACACACACACACACACACACACACACACACACACACGTTCCCCATGCCGGTGTCTGGGGAGACTCTGGTCTCAGGGCAGAATGGTCCTTGGGGCATGGAATTCACAGGGGGCCTGCTCTGCCCTCAGGAGGCTGCCAGAGTAAACATGGCTCCCCCGGCATTGCCTGCTCCCCGCCCACACCTCTTATGTTAGGAAAGCTGGACTAGTTTTGATTATTGTGAAACTGATTACCTCTGCCCATTAGATAGAGTGTTTTATTGATGGATATTTATACAGATGACTTTTTACCGTATTTACCATGTTGCTTAAACACTGAGCAACTTTCTGAGGCTACAACTCTTTTATGAAGAAACTAAGGCTTAGTGGCAGGAACATGTCAGTAGCCACGAGGTAGGTAAGTGGCCTTCAGCCTTACTGTTCTCTGAGCATGGAGTTCCTTCTGCAGGGCTGTTGTCCCCCATGACGCCCCCTAACACGTCATGATGCACCCTCATTCCCAGCACCAGCAATCCTGTGTGGCATTGAGTCTTCCTGCCCCTGACAGCCCCTTTCCCAGCCACAAAGGAAAGCTCCATGCGAGCTGGCTACAGAGCAGCCTCTGGTTTAGTGCTTTTGTGGAGCAGTGAGCTTCAGGCCTGTGGGCTGGATCCACTCCAGGTGGACAGCGGCTGAAGCTCTGGGACCCTCTAGTTTCCTGGCTGCTAGCAGAACAGAAGAGTTCCTCGTTCCTCCCAGTGTGTCCCCTTGACTTATGACAACATGTAGACTATGTAGGACTTCGGTGAGCCATCCTCCGGGCCAGGAACACAAAGCAAGAGATTGGCATACCCAGGGGAGCAGGAGGCTGTATGGACATGAAACTCACATGCCAGTGGGTGTACCCATGGCTCAATGAGAGAATGCAGAGGCCAGTGGGCACCCTCAGCTCAGTGTGAGAACATAGAGAAGCCAGTGGGCACCCTCAGCTCAGTGTGAGAACACAGAGAAGCCAGAGTGCACCCTCACCTCAGTGTGAGAACATAGAGAAGCCAGTGGGCACCCTCAGCTCAGTGTGAGAACACAGAGGCCAGAGTGCACCCTCACCTCAGTGTGAGAACACAGAGAAGCCAGTGGGCA